TCCTGGTATAGATAGATAGTCAAAGACTATTAAAAACAAATTAAATCTAAGGCTTTAAAAATTATCAATGAAGTACATAATCATAGAATTGTCCTGTTACTTCTCTCCTCAGCCAGAATTGGAAGTGGTAATAGGACTTTTGTGCATTCTGAGTAAGATGGTTTAGCGGTCAATTTGTATTTTTAGGGAAAATACTACTGTATCTCAGCTGCTTGAATACACACTCCAATGTTTTCTCTCGTAAGTCCCTCAAAGCAGAGAAACCCACAGTGTTTTAGTGTGAACTTAACACGTGGCTGATGAGATAGTGCAGGGACGGCAAGGTATTTACAGCATATTGCTAGGGACTGATCTCTGATATTGTCCAAATCTCACAGGAATAATGAACTGTGGAGCTGTGGTAATTGACTGACACTTACGTATGTAGTACTAGATTTGTTTTTTCTCTGTTGAAATAGTGTTCAAAATAGGGCTAGCAAATGATCACTTCAACCTTCCCCTCTCTTTAAAGACATATTTAAAACAATCATTATCTAGGCTCAAACACTTAACTTTATTATTTGCACTCTCCAGCTATTCAGATTCAGTAATAGCCCTCATTCACAGTGCTGCATGAAACTAGTTTTCATCCTTATTCCAAACATAGTTCCCCCGCCAGATATTCCAAAGGGAAATGAGAACATTGGCTTTTCCTTCTGAGTGGTAACATTTGACAAGGAGTTTGTGTACATTATTCAAGGCACAGATTCACTTTTGGAAATTCTGTCAAAGTAGGCAGTTCTTTAGTGATTATTGAGTGACAATTACTTTCAAAAGAAGGTTACAAAACATATTTATGTCTTCCATGGGCATAAAATGCTGAATCAAAATTTTATGCCCTCAGATTTGACACAGCTAACAAACTTGTTCTTGCTTAAGAATGAAAAGATTTCCATTTAAATGAATAGTGACTTAACGAAATGGGCAATGTCAAGGCATCTTATGCAGATTATAGAAATCTGATGCAAACACAATTCTTAATGGGTTTTCTGTCCTTTGCAATTAAAAGCAGTTCTATCATTTGCCAATCTAATAGGCAATCCTAATTATCATTAAATATATATACTTTTTCAGTAAATTGCATATACTCTCTATACATATACCTCTTTATTTTTTACATCCAATAAGAAGATAATTGAATACTTGCTTTAGTTTCTTTAAAATCAGTGACATTTACATGGCATTGTATTTGGATGGCTGTGGGCTAGACCAGCACCTGGAAAACTTCAGTTTGCTTAAGAGTCACGTAAAGAGTTTGTTTAAATACAGATTCCTGGGCCGTACTCCCAGAGTGTGATGCAATAGGCCTAGGGTGGGCATGAGAATTTGCATTTCTAGCGAACTCTTGAGTGTTGCTGATTCGTCACAATTGTGGCGTAATTATTCACTTACTCTGAACAGCACTGGGCTACACAACAGAGAATTAGCTATGTGACACAAAAGAGAAGTAGAAGGGATAGAATAGACAAAGATGATAGTATCCACTTAGAGTGTGGGTTCAGTAGTAGCCCCCAAAAGATATGCCCACTAGGAACCTCAGAATGTGACCTTATTTGGAATAAGGACATTTGCTGTTAAAATTAAAGATTTTTAAGATGAGATAATGTGAATTAGGTGGGCCCTAAATCCAATGATGGATGTCCTTATGAATGTCTTCTCTCCTATAAAACTCTACAATATTAAATTTCTGATGCCTTATCAAATGGTAATTTGTTACAGCAGCCTTGGAAAACTAATAGATACCCAAGTGTACCCCTAACAAAGTATGAAGTTCCCTCTGTCATATTCTCTAAGGGAAAAGGATAGAATTCTGACACTGGCCCAGTAAGCTAGTATAACAGGTTAAATGATGATTACATCAAAAAATTGGCAAGCATTTAGATACTTTCCTGCACGTTATTTAATCTTTCCCCAAATGCTTTAAGATAGTTACATTTTCAGCATTTTTTAACAAAAGAAGATCCTGAAATGCAGAATGGTCATATAATCAGAAAATATTAGGTGTCTACATTATACCAGGCTCTTGCTAGATATCCAAGTGGTCAGTGACTTGCTGACACAGTGGTACAGCTAAGAACTGCAGAGTTAGTATTCAAGTTGTGATCCTGTCCAAATTCAGTGCCCTTCTCCATCACATCACACTTTATCAAAGGCTTGGAGCAGGAAAGCATAGAGCAATTTGGCAAATACTATAGGATTTTGGCTGCTATGGAATATTCAATAAAGCAGAAAAGGAATTTATTATCTCCAACATTAATCTCCTTGATTGATGATAGTATTTCTATCAATACTTATAAAGTAGCTTGCACTTTGTTACCTTGATCTTATTTGCCCTTATGGTAACCCTTTCACTTCTCACTCAAATATTCACATAATTTAAGCTGACCCTTAATAACTAGAAATAACAGCTCTACACTGTCTTTTGAGATGTAGGTCAGTGATTTAGACAGCAGTATTTCTATGTGCCTTTTTAACATACATATTTTTTATATGTAGGTATTATATGTATATAATAGCCCTAGAAATAATATTTGAATATTACCTTCTGTTCAAGAGCACTCAGAGAAGACTACTTGGTCGTTAGCATCATAATAATGTGAATTCCCAGAGTGTTCCATGCAAACGTCCCTTGAATGATTATTAAGGTATTTAAGCTGTTTAATAATGCTTTAAGAGTTATTAAACTCAATCTTCATGTCATTATAGTTAAGGCTTTTGAACCTACAGTGTGAATGGCACTCAACTAGCTACTAAACATTGAGCTTATTAAAAAACAATTGTCCCTGTCCTTGCTTGATTCAAGATCAGTGAAGAAAAAAGAAGAAAAAAAGGTTAGTGAAACTGTGAGAGGTTTAGACAAAATGGACTAAGAAACTGCTCACTTTAGAAGGTTAAAGTGGAAAGATAAGAAATAAAAGAAGCTATGAACATGCTGAGGGGATAGTTGAACTGAGGTTCTGTCTTAGAAGCTGAGGGTAAATTGTGTAAATTTCTTAAAGGTCTAAATCCACAGGGGTAATAGTAAAGAATGGACAGTAACACAGGCACCATTTTTTCCTTGTGATTATATTTGCGTTTAATCATATCTTTCTCCCAACATTTATTCATTAATTTATCCCACGAACACTTCACGTGCACCTGTAAAATGCAAAATATGGCATGGCAACGAGGTGTACCACCTGGGCAGAAGATAATACTTGTAAGTAAATAACTATAAGACCATAACTCTGATCTAAATGACATGTATCAAAACTCTTAACAAAGGAAGGGTCACAGGAGAATGTGAATTCTTCTGTATCTATGAACTGACTGCAGATTTTATTCAACTATCTTTTGGATTTCGATTTCTTATTTTATTGCACTGAGTGGCTTTGGTCTGTAAAATAGACATGATTTTAATATTTTTGAGACTTCCTTTGTAACTCAGTAGTTTGTCAAATTTGTAAATGTTTCAGGCTCGAACACAGTATGTTTTCTTTAATTACTGAGTGCCAGTTTTGATGTGTTTACTAGATTAAATGTATTATTTGTGTTGCTGAATCCTTATTTCTTCTTTAATTCTTATGTTTGCTTTATAATTTTTTTACTGTAAAGTAAATTAAAGTATCCTATTTCAACTGCAATCAGTTTCTATTTATAATTCTTTCTGTTTTTGCTTTGTATAATTTAAGGCTAAGATTTTAGGTATACACAGGTTCAGTATTTTTATACTTTCTGGGTGAATTGTATTATTTCTTTAATCATTAAGTAATGCCCTTTTTATCTCTGATTATGCTTTTTTCTTAACATCAGCTTTTTTCTAATAGTAATATTGCTACATTGACTGCCTTTTGGTAATAATCATTGATATATTGCATTCTATCTCCTTACTTTCTATTATTCCATATTCTAAATTGTAAAAAAAAATTATACCTTTACCGAGATATGATTTATTCACTCTTTTAAAGTGTACAGTTCAAGGGGTTTCAGTACAATCACAGTTGAGCAAGCAATACCCACTACCTAATTTTAGAACATTTTCTCATCACCCCAGAAGAAAGCCCCATACACATTAGCAGTTACTGCCCATTTACTACCTTCCCCCAAGCCCAGGCAACCATTGATTTTCTTCAGTCTCTATGGATTTGCCTTCTCTGGACATTTCAAATAAATAGTATCACACAGAATGTGGACTTTTATTTCTGACTTTTTCTACTTTTCACCAATCATAATAGTAATGTCATAAAATGTGTCAGTACCTCATTCTTTTAAAAGCCTCAGTAACATTCCATTATATGAATATACTGCATAGTATCTATCCATTTTTGGTTATTATGAATAATGCTATGTACATTGTATACAGTATGCATGGACATATGTTGTCATTTCTCTTGGCTGTGAAGTGGAATTGCTGGATTATAGGGTAACTCTACGTTTAACATTTTGAGGAACTAGAAAACTATATTCCAAAGTAGCCCCACCATTTCACCTTTCACCAGTAATGTATAAAGTTTCCAATATCTCCACATCCTTCATCTGGTCTTTGCTTATACATTAAAACCCTACTCCAAAGCCCCTTTGGCCATATCCTTGCACAAATTCCTTGTGGGCCTACACCATGTCGAATCCCACCTACATAGTTTTGCATTTCACATGTGTCTGACCTCTGCATATTTGATTTTCTTTAAATATGTATTAAAACTTAAAAGTTGCTTTACTTAGTAATTTTATATGTTTGTGAAGGTGAGGAAGGAGGAGTAGATATAGGGGATAGGTATTCATACCGGATCAGTCTCCCATTCTTGGAAGTTGAGCAGTTACAGTGACTGTGAAGTGGCTGGCTTACAAGTTACAGGTATTGTTTAGGGCTAGGGGTCAAGTTTTGATTTGAGCTTAATTACTTGGACCACATAGGACCAATTATTACACTGAGCTCATCCAGTCCCATATGAGCTAACTCATCTTTTCATTGTTTTTCACAGAGACAAGTTTCCAAAAATAATACTGAAGAAAAAAAGCCCAAATTTAGAAAAAGGAAAAGGTATGTTTTCTAAATTAAAAGGTATTGTGATAAAATTGAAATACATATATTGGATTTAATTATTATGACATTTCCCCCTGATTCTTGATTCTGGTTCTCTAGGGAAACATTGTATTTAAAATTTTCTAAAAGAATAAATTGATAAGCAGTAGTTTTAGAGTAGGGAGAAAATTTTATGTTTATACAAAGAATGTTGAACCAGAACTTCCAAAGATTAATACTATGTGAACAACCAGAGGAGAGAGAAGTTTTTAGTTTAAAAATAGGTAATGCAAACCAAAAACAGGCCTATATAAGCCACTGTTGATAAGTTTTTGTGTTTGTCATTGAGCCAGTCATACAGCTTATTTATTAATTTTTTTAATGAATGCTAATCAGTGCTGTGTTAAAAGGAGTCCCATTCAGAGTCAAAGACTGACCCTAATGTTATAGTACTCTTCTTCTTTGTCCTTTTTCAAAAAATGAATGATAACATTTTTACAAAGGATTTCCACTGCCTTATCTCAGTTACACTTCACAGCAGCCCCATCACATTTAAAAGGTGAAGAATTTGTGACATAGAGAAGTTAAGTAGCTTTGTCAAGATCTTATGGTTAGAGAAAGTGCATTGAAACAAATGTTTTCTTGACTGTAAATCAGCAACATAATGTAGTGGAAAAAACATGGATTTTGCAGTCAGATAATTTTGTTCTGTCATGCTCAACCATTTACATATGTTGTTAAATTTCTCAGTTTCTGAGAACCTCAGTTTCTTTATAAGATGAGAACAGCAGTTCCTTAGTGGGTTCTTGCAGGGAGGATCGCATGGAAAAGCCTGTGTAAAGTGGTTGGCAGATCATTAGTACTTTTTACCTAGTGAGGGCTCAAATCAGTATTATTACCCTTTGGTTTTTCACTCTATCATGCTGCCTTGCTGCATGAAACAACCAAGAAAAAGTACCTCAAGATAAAGAAATATATATCCATTCATTACAATTACCAGTGAATACACATAACTGATTGTTTAAATATGCATGATTGATCTTTTGAAACTAAATCTGTCAAATTCTTTTCCTAGGATAGCTATTTTAAAATGTTCTTTGGAAAGTGTTTGTTCAGATTATGCCCTATCAAAGGAAAACATGGGTACGTGAAAACCTTTTAGTTCTTTTAGCCTATATTTAATGCCAGCAAATGTAGTTGTAGTCCTTGGAAAAAAATATTGTATGTACATACATATATTGGAAACATTAGTATGTCATTTTTGGTATTGATTACATTCTAGGGCTCTTCAATTATCTCTAGGTTTTTATTCCTTTGAATTACATTTTCTCTGGTTTTGTCATGTATTTATTTATTTGTTTGTTTAAATAAAGCACCAGAAGTTGTGGAAGGAAATACCAGCATCAATACATTTCAATCCAGACCTCTCCTTTCCAAAGTTACTGGTGTCCTACTAGTGCCAGAGGGAGAGAAGAAAGAAAAGCAGCCAGGGGCTTCTGACTGAATCAGTTGCCACTGGACACAGTTGGGTGAATGTGGGTGGAAAGGAGGGAGAAAGTTACACTTTCAAAGCACTTTACTCTTCCTGAATTTTCATTAGTCTTGAAAAGCAAGCAAATGCTTATTTGCAAGGTGGAACTTTGGCAGCCGTGCAAAGAGGTCTCAAAGCCCATTAAGCCCATCAAGGCCCAAAAAGTTACCAGTTCCATACACCCTCTCCCATGATCCTGTGGCTCTGTGCTTCAACTGGCTAATGAAGCCATTGTCTTATTAAAAGAAAGGAAGGCAAATAAGAGGAAGGGTTATTTTTTTAAAATCCTTTTCTTCCTCTCCTAAACCACTACAAAATTCTGTTTTTTCTCTCAAACTCATGCTGCTGTTTTCCTGCTATTTAAGGTGCCTTTTCTTGGCTATTTTGTTTCTTTGCCTCATATGATCAGTTTGAATATTCCTGTAGAAAAGCTCAGTTCAGTCTGTGCCTGGACTGACTTCCCACAAGGAGACCCTGGCAGTGCATCTGAGGGATCCTTCTCCCTCCAGCGCACACAGGATACTACTGAGGAAATCCATTGCAGCTGGGCATCGAGTGAATACATACATCTCAGTGGTGATCCATGTGAAGGGAAGCCCTCACATTGAGTCATCTCACATTCTGTATGGCTCCAAAAGTCTCAATTGTTAAAATAGTTAACTTGATCTCTGTTTTTCTCCTTTATCCCGATTTGAACAAGAGCAGAAAAATATGGCCTGCTATATTCTTTTTACTTAGCTGAATACTTGCTGAAAGTGGTTCTTCTGTAGTTTAACCCTTCTCAAATTTGTTACCCCCAACCCATGCTTCTGTGGATTCCTTGATCCAAGCCTCTGACATATCTCAATTCTTCTGAGTTTTAAGTAGTATCAGTCCTAGATCAAGTGATAGAGGAAAACTATGCCATCTTCTTCTTGAACCTCTGCCCACTGTTGGACCCTTCTTCCTTACACTCCCAGCTGATAAAGTTATCTCGACAGTTTAATGTCCCAGATTTGCTGTTCCTTTATGGTTTTAAGCTCTACCAATTACTTCTCTTTTCCCTTAGTTAGAGATCAGGAGGAGAGCTTTTAAGTGCAACAATTTTACCCCTCCAACTATGATTCTTCATCTGCAAAAGAGATTCAGTAGCCCTGCTGTCCAACAAGGGGAGCCTGTTTCTGGAAATTAATAGAAAAAGTTGAAGAATAATTAAATAATTTAAACTTTGTGCCTATGTCTGTACAAAGATTTAAGACATAACTATCTGTGAAGCATGTCTGCATTTTTTGGAAAATTGCTATACCAGGAATATCATCTATTGTATTATTTCTATAACTCATTTTTTTTTGAGTACTGAGGGACAATTCATCTATGATAATGAAATAACAGTAGCAATTATAATAACACTTAGAACAATTACTATGTGTCTGTTGGGAAAGAAGAAATTTCTTCTACCCCTTGAGGTTCTTCTAGCTGGTCTAAGAATCAAATCGGTATGAGACAGATTAACAGGAGGGAAAAAACAAAGTTTAATTACATACATATGGGGAAGGCATAGACAAGGGTTGTAAAGGCAGTCAGGGAGAATGAGGTCTATATGTCACCCTGAACCAAGGAGAAATGGGGTAGAGGTCTGAGACTTCAAAGGAAAAGGGAAGCAATTCACAGGAATATGAAAAGAGTAAATGTTTCATAAATGAAATACCTGATAGGCCACACAGAAACAGTGGGGCACAGAGAGGAATTTGAACAGATGTGGCCACATCCCTCCCTGTCTACCACCCCTAGGTTACATTATAATATAGCTGTCTAGGTGGTAGCTCTCCCCCTGGAGTGGTTCCTCCATCTAAGTTCTTTTTATGCAGCTGTGAGTGGGGAGGTCAAAGTATCCTCCTGAATCTTTTGGGCCTTGATGCTTTTTCAGGTCAAAATAATCTGCAAGTTCCAATGGCACATCTTGAGGTGGCCTGCTCTTGGTCCCTACATGTCTTCACTATTCTAAAGACTTCATAAATATTAGTTTATTTAATCCTCAGAATATCTATATAAGGTAGATGCTATTATATCTCTCATTTTATTGATAGGGAAACTGAGGCACTTAGGAGCTTATATGACTTTTCTAAGGTCACATATCTTAAAAGTGTTCAGCTGTTTCCTTGGTTGCTTTGAGTAGCAGAAATCTTAAAGCTAAATTTATGGGGGTCTTTTGGTACATCACTGGTAGTTGGCCTAAGCATTTTAAAATTGTAATTATTGTCCTTCATATCCCCCTTAATGAATTGTATTTGGTTTCTTTCAGGTTTTTGTTATTTGTTTTATTATATCACTATTTCCTATTGGTAAATACCCTATTTCTTTCTGGGGAGTAGATAGTGTATAAAAGTTTGAATAAATTAAAGATTGACATATTACCAAGGACCAACTAATAATCTGTTGACATTCATTATTAAATTGGCAAAGGAAGTGTTCCCCAGCCATTTGAGACAGGTGAGCATGGAAAAGGGTGATTAATAGAGGAAAAGTCTGGATCATAGGGTAAGCCTTAGAGGAAGCAGAGGCCTTGGGGCTTGAGTCTGAAAGATAAAGGGGATGACAGGGAGAAACGTAATTGTTTTTCTACTAAGACAAATTTTGCCCACCTACTCTTGGTTTGGAGTTACCTTTAACCCCTTGGCAAAACCTATAGGCTAAAAGGTAGGCTGGTCCTCAAGCCCATTTTCTGAAAACGTCCATGCCTGCTATTTCTATTTGTGTTTCCAGGAATGGTGCTTTCTTCTTACTATGCTTCATCCTATATTTTACTCATTTCTACATCTAAATTGTAAGCAGACCAAGGAATGTTTGTGGTTACTTAAAAATAAAACCAAACTAAGTACTCTTTCCTTCTCCTCACTCTCCACCTCTCTAAGAATGCCTTCAAACTTCCAACATTGAAATGGCCCTGCAAATTTATGTAAGATGATATTTTTCATTGCTAGCTTTGGGGTAACACAACCAGTAGTCTCTTTACATAAGGGAGGAAACAGCTTCTGTAAACATTTAATAGAGAAGTAGAGGTTAAATAAAACTCCATAAATGCACATTTGAAGGCTTTTAAAATAGTGACTGACTTAGTGAGACAAACAGTAAGTTATTTCTTATCAGGAATGGAAAAATAACACTGGTTTATTTTGCAAAAATTCATTTTTAAAAGCTAGTTGTGGACTCATAAGAGATACTTTCTCTCTTTCTTTTTTTTTAACTTTCTCTGAGTGATGGAGTAGCTGTAAGGCTACCTCTTTGCTCTCAACAACAAATTGAAACAACTCAGGAAAACTAGGGGCTAATCAGTATTGATGGAAGATGATTGGTCATGCAATCAGCAAAGACATTCATTGTGTCTCTGTCTTTGGAGCTATCATTGACCAATTTTGATAACCTAGTTTGTAGATTATAGTAACTGCTATTTCTTGAGAATTATTTTTGTACTCTGTTTATAATATAGGAATATCTACTTAGAAAAGCAAACCTCTCATTGCTCTGGAAGCATAAGTTGATATCAGTCAAGTTGGTGTTATGAACCCCTGTTGATTTATGAAGTCATCCATTACTTTGTCTACCCTTTGATCAAAAGGCAGTACGTATATTTTTCCAGATCACCTGAAAACAGAGAGCCTACAATCCCACCCAGCAATTACATTCATTATAATAAATTGATTGTACTCTAACCTAGCCTTAGAAATATAAAGATGTTTGTGTGCCATTTTTCCTTTATAGTATAGCTCAAAATCCATCTTCTCAATAGTGCATTAAATGTTAGATTAATTTTCATAGACTCAGAATATGAAGTAGGAAAACACAACATCTGTGAGTGAGTCTGGGGAATCAGTATAAAGATCACCACAGCAGCTGTCTGTTAAGTAACAGGTTACCAAGAAAGAAATCTGTCATAAAGAGAGGTTAATTTTATTAATAAAATTGCTTCAATGAAAATATACAATCCTCTAGAAAATTCAGTAGGCATGGGGTTACATTCATATTGTTTTATTTTAATAAACCCATAATTTGATTCTTATGCCTACCAAATATTGAATATCTTTATTCTATAATATGATGGTTTATACTCGGTGTTCTTAGGCTTTAGCAGTTACCATAGAACACAGATCAATATAGATACAAATAACAGTTTTTGTTTGTTTTGTTTTTAAACATAGGAACTGATTCTAAGTTGTAGACTGGCTTATCAGAATGCTGCTTTCAAACTGTTTTGAAATAAGTTTTCCATAGAGAAAATCTAAGATTGGCTGGGAAGACAAGATGTCCAGGAAGGCTCACTGTTCTATGCCTGTTCTCTTGAGTCCTTGGCCCTCAGAAGACACACAGTAAATATTTGTTGATTGAATATAAAAGTGCATGGGGCAAGCAATAAATTTTGACAGAAAAATTGTTTTTTTAGACAAAACTACAGTGTGATAAATGTAAACTAGTATTTTTCCACTACTGTAGCAACAAGCAAGACAGGGCAAATTCTACTTCACAGCCTCCCATGACTTCACTCAACACTATTACTTAATAAACAATGCTTTAGCAGAATTTGAAAATTTCCTTATCATTAGACATAGATAAAACAAAATTGCCAACATAGCAGATG